CACAAAAAAATATAAGATGCTCTACAAAAGAGATCAAGTAAAACTCTAAACAAGTAAAACAAGGTTCGGTTGAATAATGGGCAAAATATTGAATAAGATTTTGATAATATTTTCTCTTTTTGTTGTTAGCTATTCTTCCCTCTCTCTCATTCTGATGTCTCTCCTTTCCTCTTGTTAATTTTGTCTATCAATAATTCTAAACAGGTTATCTTCTAACATGGTTCATCATGGACTATAATGAATGAGGTTAAGCATCGATGATCAGCTGAAATTATAAAATTAGCAATGAACAAAATGTTTCCCAAATGGAAGAATGAGATAATTTACAAATACTACCCAATATGGTTTAAAATTGTGCAATATGAGGCTCGCCTTTGCGCAATTCTAGTAAAAAATGCCTTGATGCTTACGCCTCGAGTAGGCTTGCGCCTCAGCTTGGTTGAGGCCTGCCTTGAGGCCCGCCTCGCCTCACTGGCATGAGGCTTACGCCTCACGCTATATATATTAAAACTTACATAAATCTTGAAGTAAATCCCCAACATTGGACTCTATAGGAGAGGAGGAAGGGGAGAGAGCAATTCACCATAATGATGATTCAAATGAAGAACCCCTTATTGATGACAGTGCTGATGACTTAATGAGTTCTTATGTGATAAGTCATTGCTATTTATTTTTGGAAATTAGAATTATATGTTAATGAAAAGAATACTGGGACTTGGGAAAGATAGAATTTTGAGTTGAAATATATTTCATGTTGTCTTATTATTGAGATATTTTGATTTCACTTCATATCTTATGCTTTTTTATGTTTTATATTATTCACTCATTAGTATATAAAAAATTTATCATTTAATGTTTACGCAATCTTTTGATTTTGAGGCTTACGCCTCAAAACGCCTTGAGGCTTACGCCTCGCCTCATGAATGAAAAACGCCTCAATACCCGAATACGTAATTTTAAACATTGCTACCCAATCTAAAACTTAATTTTAGTTTGAAATAAACACTAGATCTATATTCAGCAGAAAATCACATCCAACAAGAACGTGGTTAAGAGTTAAGAATCTCTCCACAAAAAAAATATAAGATGCTCTACAAAACAGATCAAGAATCTAAACAAGTAAAACTTTAAGCAATAATAAGATGAAAATATCACAAACATTATAAAAAAACCAAGCAAACAAATCATGTCAACCCAAAAAGGTTCAGAACATAGAAATGCTTTTACAAGAAGGTTCCATTACTGAACCCGGCAGTTTTCATTTTTTCAGTGCACTACATTTCTGTCCATAGCTTTGCATCACTTTTAAAGCATGTATATAAAGCACTTTTAACAACATAGACCATCATGATCATCAATAGCCTTATCCAAACTATTTGGGTCAGCTTTTGAGTTCATTTTCACAATTCCTAAATTTTGAGACTCGTGTATGGTGTCAAAACTACTGTAGTTCATATGTTCATGAAAGTAAATGAAAACATGACATGGCACAGGAAGTGGAAAAAATGAATATTGGAAGGCACAGCCGAGAATATGTGGATGACCTCTACTGTTGCCTAGAAGTATAAAGTTTATTTTTTATTTTATGAATATAGTTTTAGTTTTATTTTAAGAGTTACAATTTTATTTCAAGCATATTTTTAAGTTATGAGTAGTAGTAGTAGTCATACAATGAATATGCAAAGATGGTGACAATGCAGCTAGATCACTTTTAGTCAACATATGCAAACAGGCTGACTGATGCTCACTTATTCATTAATATTTTCAAGAAAAAGTAAAACGTCGAAAGGTCGAGGCAAGATATGAGAAGCTTAAAGGACATTTACCCTCAATTTAATTCATAATCAAATATTCATGAATGAAGAAATTCAAGATGCATGTAGTGAATTTTGACCCCTCAAAAACTTACATTCCTGATATTGTGTCTTTTCATTTCTTAGTGCTATAAGGGAAAATGGCACTAATGGCTGAAAAAACGTGCAATCAATTATTATTGATGAATTGAAATTAAATTTTGGAGAAACATTATTCTTCTTTGAAAAAACTTGGTGGCGTTTCCTACAGCATTGGTCTGGATCAATCGTCTTTTGATGTAATCAAAAATTTGGGAGAGGGACCCAAATTTTTTATCACAAAAAACAACTCTTTCTAGATAATAAAAACTACACCAAAGAACACAAAATGTGACAAATGAACTAAAAACAACTTCACTTTAATATATATATATATATATATATATATAAAGACTTACAAACTTTTGACTCAAACGACTCAAACAAGAAAAATACCTAAAGTTTCATCTCTCTGAGAAGAAGGATACAGGTGGCGTCGAACTTGCGGAGAGACAAAAGAGGTTAGAAGCCAAGACGAAGAGGAGACAAGCTCGCAAGCTTTCTCAAAGAGAGAAGGAAAGAGGGAATTTGGACAAAGCTCGCAAGCTTTTCCAAACAACAAACCCGCAGGTTTACATTTCCAAAAATCAAATTATCACTTGCTAAAACATCCACAAACCAACTCATATCTATAAGCAAGAGAAGAGAAACCAAACAGCCACAATGACCTTTCATATTCATAATATAAATGAGGGAAATGAAAAGCCAACAGCCACTTCATTGTTTTACCCCCAAATCTACACAGGAACCCAAGCTCCACAAGCCACGGAAAAGCCCCCAACAGCCACGGAAAACAGCCCAGCACAGCACCGAACAGCCACCCGCATAAATCAAGGAGCTAGCCGTGGGAATCAAGGAACCAAGGCACGGAAACCCAAGAGCTAGCCGCAGGAAACCAAGAGCCAACCGTGGGAACCAAGGAGCCAAGGCACGGGAACCCAAGAGCCATCCACGGGAACCAAAGGGACAGCAAATGGGGGGAATGAACATCAATTTATGAGCTAAAAAGGCTCTCTACTAGACATTAATGAGCTGAATCTAGTAGAGGACCTAGAAGCTCACTAAATTTATAATTCAAAATGTTTTGGACCCCCCTTTGCCTACATCATCTTTTGATGAGGAGATTGGTGTTCTTATTATTTCTTTGTTTTACAAAATGTTTATTTAGTTCATTTCCTTTCTCACATTCCCCTCAAGAGATCTGAAACTCGTAATCTCCCACAGTTCCAATCGTAATTTTCTTATCTATAAATAAACTTTACAAATACTGTCTTCAATATAACCATCCTCTCTTTCTTCCATTGAAAACACCAATATTTTCAAGTTCAACCCCAAATCACCATTGGATCCCCTTTCCCACATTCTTATCCGTCCACAAATTACTTCATTCCATAATTTTTCCCTTCTAACCCTGCCTTCTGCTTCACATAAAACCAGCCTTTATGTGAAAACCCAAATCCTATACCCACCTTGAAAGTGTCGTCCAACATTTTTTTCTCTATTCTCTAAGCCTACCAAGCTCCAAACCACATTCATTGAGTACTCTTCCCCTGCACCATATAAAATTACTCACCATCATTCTCCACTTTAAAATTCATCATATACTTTAAATCATACATAATTCCCATTGTTTTGAAAATCAGACCAGACCGACCATTTCACCCATGGATCACTCATGTGGCCAAATCAGTTCACCTTAAGAATCGGTCATAACCACCAACTTGACCGATGAACAATCGAAATTGATCCCAATTTCTTAGAACCAGATAGCTCAATTGCTATCCCATTTAAGCAATAAAATAAATTAATTTAATAAGTTTAGTAGAAAATATTAAATTTAACAAATTAATTTAAATTTAATATAATTTAAAGTTATAATAAGCATTACAATTCTATAATACTAACATGTCAAGCAAGCATCAACCAAGCATTTTCATATGGCTCCACCACCTCATGTGAATTCCTAACACATGCATTGAAAAAAAATGCTATATAAACAATATTAAGATAAAATTTTCAAGTGACGTGAAACTAAATAATTAAAAGCTCTCAAGTTTACGACACATGAATAGCATATTTTAAACAAAAAATTTTAGTTGCTTTTTTTTTCTAATGTAAAATTTTTATTTTTTAGTTAATAGTATTAATTTTTTATCTAATTAATTAATTAATTAATCACATATTATTAAAATTAACTTATAATCTATTTTTCTAATCGAACCATTGAACCATGAACCTCTCATTCTTCCAGTTTTATGTTCAATCCTATTTTCATAACCTTGTTTATTCCCAAGATGACGAACTCTATCAATTAAGAAAGGGTTTTATTAGCAAGATTAAAATGGCAACAGCAAGTAACCTAAGAAGTTTGGAAACCTTTTCCATGCATATGCACACGAAGCTTATATGCAAGTCGGGCTGCCAGATCAAGATGGGGCATTCCCAAGTGTTTAGGCACCCATATGGTTAGAACTGACAACCTAACCCATTTTAGGGACATACCAAAATAGCATCAGACAAGCCATAATAGTCCACAGATATAGGAATCTTCCAAATAGTGAACAGAGATACTGAAACTAACTAGATAAGGTAATAAAAAAAAGTGAATGTGAATAGGCAAAACTTTCATTTTCGTTGAAAAAATTACGTATCCAACTAGCTATAAACCTGAAGGAAATAAAGTGCTTAAAAAGGTATTGTGGTGCAAGAAATAAGGTGTATATCAAAATTAATGGGATAAAATGGGAAATTGTTAAGGCATTAGTCTTCCTAGGAGAAGAACCCACATTAAGGTTAATAGTATATTCCACTCGAAGAAGCATCACATGCTTTTCCACTTGAAGAAGGACCCACAAACTCCATAACAATCCTAGTAAAATCAAAACTGGGCAATAATGGCACCAATGAAAAGCCAAAAAACATAATGATTATTTCAAATTGACAACAGAGTTTGACCTGTTAATTAAAAGATTACTAAAGAACCTTTAACTCAATTCTAGTGCATTTTGTTAATAATTTATATGTTAAAAGAATTTTCATTAGAGGTGAAAACAAATGTTAGACAAATGAGATTAGTATAAAAAGGCACAATTGAATAATATCACAAACCTTTCTTGCCCTCGCCCTGTGCTTTAGCCATAGCAAGAAGTTCCTTTCTATTTTTTCCATTAACGCGAGACATATCCTATGACATGTACAGTAAGAATTTTGAGGATTATACTAATAATTATAAAAGAAACAACAACATATGGAGAAAGTCAAATACCGGAAGAGGATAGCTTGGAGAATTCATGTACAAGGCTGTGTAATGGTTGATGCATTGTTCTTTATTCTTGGTACCAACATGCTCAGCAACTTCAGCCCAGTTTCCCAACCCGTACATTTCTATACCCTTAAAAGTACGTGAAACGGATTCCATGAGTTGCATTATGGAAGCCAGCATAGTGCAATCGAAAACAATATGCATTGTGATGGAATACTTATCATATCAACAATGAGAAAATACCTCAAGAAGAAGTATTTCCTCATCTGCGTTCCAGTCCTGACAAATAAGGGGGAAAGACAAGTTGTCCTGCCATTTTGAAAAAAAATTATTATTTCAAGTAATAAAACCAAATACATTCTTGAAAACTTCAATCTCAAAATAGCCATCCAAATACTTTTTTGAGTTTTATTCAAGAACAGGACCATAGTATCAATTAATTATCTGGCTCCGGTTAGCTAATATGTTTCACAAATCACAACTGCCTCCTATATATTCGTAATTGCCTTTGCCTGCATATTCTCTAACCGTACTTGATCTCTGAAAACTAGAAAATAAATTAAGGAGCATACACAACAAAATAGTACAATCACAAACCTAAGAAAATCAAACAATACTAATGTCACCCTGTACCAAAAGAACCATGCTAGGAAGTAGCAAGTCACCATTTTGAACAACATTAACTTTAAAATGGGGTAGAATTAAAAGACTTAAGAGAAAAAAGGATGAATACACCTCTGCTGAAATATTCTCCCTCTATGATATCACTACACAGAGTGATACAGCAACAATTCATGTTCAAACAAAGAGGCAAGAGGCCAAAAGATCTGTTGGTGGGTAGACATTTCAACTAAGCTTTGGGTTAAAATATACTTCAAAAAACACAGAAGGAGCTAGTACCACACTCCATAAACCAAAAAAAATTATGATAAATTCAAGAGGGTGTCTACAGGTGACTAAAACTACCAACATGTGACGCTACTGTGAAAGGTTAGAGAAAAAAAACTTGTATGAATGATTACATGGGATGGTTGCATGAGAGGTTACACCATGAAATGGCTGCATTACATGAGGGAATCCATCAAAGGGGTGTTCTTTGATTCAAGGGAGCATCCTTAATATGTATCTTTGATCTTTTCTTGTTTAGCAAGATAACATCTCCATTGCTTCGATATTACCAAGTATAAATAGGAATTCTTAAGTTATTAAGGTATTTTCCAAATTTAGAAAAAGTTAATGATTTCATTGTCAAATTTATTATTGGTCCTTATTACATAAGGAACTATCATGCCCTACATTGATAAGGAAATATCATCTTTATTCCTCTAGCCAATCTCTCTCTCCTTAAACCAAATACCATATCTTCTCACCACCAACTGAAAACTTAACAAAGAACCTGATCTCCATTCCCAACATGCTTTGCACTTATTCCAAGTAAACCATAATTTTCCTATATAATAAAGCCATCCCAAAGTCCTAACTACAAACCCAAGACCTATCTACAACCTTAATTCACTTCCTCGACGAAATATGATATAACCTAATCAAAGATCCAAATACACTAGAAGGTTCTTAGTTCGTCCAATTCAACTTGGATCACACCCACATACGCACTCAGAATCACATAGGCATAAATTCAAACACATACATTCAAATCGCCACCCATAGGCATCAACGGAGGCACATGCTGCACATGTGTGCATACAAAAAGCACTGATATAAACTTAAACATACATGTGGAGACATGCATACAAACAAACACATGCATAGTAATGTACGTGCTAACACAAATCCTACCACACAATTCTAACCATAGAATAACTACTCATGTACACACACATGCACCAACACATACATATATGTGTGCTACATGAACATGATTGGCACGCATTTACTGCACATAAGTAAGTGCATAAACACATGAGTGCAAGATGCACTGATGCACGCTCACTCGAATGCATGTATGCAAATTGATGGAAGAACAATGCTGACAACCACACACATATGCTCGTATATGCATATACATGTCTGTAAGCATGTCCGCATTTCAAAAGCATAATTGGAGCAAAAATATAACTTAATCAATCCGGGCAAATGCATATCCTGCACTTTGTTAAAATCTTTGAAACCATGTACGTTATCCAAAAATCATACCTATTGGTGTTTGTTCTTTATAGCTCTCCACCCTCCACTCCCTCAGCCCAATTCACTCGTGCACACTTCATATCATATTGACCTCTAATAGGAGTTTCATGCCATGCAACATAGTATCAGTATAAACCTTTGCATTATCACTATATCTTATTAAGGATCAAAGAAACTCAAATAGATTGACCACATTCTGAACTTTAGAAACATTTTTAGGGTGTTTCAGTCCATCAGCTTGAAAGTTCTGAATTGTATGTCTTATTTATATTTATTCAAGTAAGCTCTAAATCCAAATAACATAATTTATCATCTCTTCAACAAATAGTAAAAATGTGTTTTCTAATAAATTGGTCAAAATGTAATTTTATCACAGCAGTAGCGATATAATAGGTTTAATATGCATGTTTTCTATTAAATTATTACATATTTTTGAAAGAGGTGGAAATCTTGGTCAGCCAAATTGGCTTGATTACGATAGTTATGGTCCAACATTTTGGTTTATGATAGCCTTACAAAATTCATGTGATGAGTTAATCTAACGCTCACAACTAACAAGTGACACAACACTTAAGAATAAGCAAATAATAGCAATGAAAATGTGGTACAATAACTATACCAACCATGACTCTGTATGGATGATTGCTTCTGTGAGGGGTGACTTCAGCACCTACACTAAAGCACTCAACACAAAGATCAAAATCGGGACATTTTGAACATTTAATTCTTATCTTTCCAGATATGTCCTTGTTACAATAATTGCAATGGTATAAAGCTTTCTTTCCTTCAGTGCCACCTTGACCTACATCACATTAGAAAAAATTATTTGATTTAGTTTGGAAGCATGGTAGAGCCATTATAAATAAAAAAAGGAAAAGAATGGCAAAGAGTCCACAGGAAAACATCACACAAGGTGACATCCTTTTTCAATACTTTTTTGGGGTAGAACCAATTCATTGCTTTTCATTTTGGCACTTCACATCTATCTTTAGATTCATATAGTGGAATAAAGGCTTGTTTTCGTTGTTGTTGTTCATTTACCTTTAGGTCGGTAATGTCCAATTGAAAATAAAAAGAAAAAAAACAAACATATAAACAGCAATCTTGCTTATAAAGTCTAACGCAAATCAATAGCAGTTAAATGAGTTTAGCTGCAACACTGATTATTTATCATCTCTGTTGTCAGAAAATAAACTCTCTAAAAACACATACCTGTGGAAGCATTTTCAAGATTCTCCCCAGCAGGGGCAACCCTTCTTCTCTTTGATCTGTTGACAAAAGAGATGAACTTTGGAGTTACAAAAAAAACTAATAACATTAAGGCCAAGATTCAAATAAATACAACAAACATGCATTCATACATGCATCGGCATCTATTGGATTAAACAGCTCCTTCCCTGAAAGGACAAGCTAGGTGAACCCAATAATACCATATGGCTGACCAATCATCTCTAGCACAAGCCTGGCTAGGTCCAACTAGCATTTATTCCTCTACCAAATGGGTATCCCAAGTTCAGAACAATGTGAGCCTTTAGTATGACTGGAAGATTTTCATCCTTTTAGCAAGAAAATCTAATAGACCTTAAGGACCCAGCATTATCAATAAGGAACAAAGCCTTTCCTTATGTTGTCAACAACAATTTCTCTATGGAAACCAACAAACATTAACATTTAGGGGTAGAAATGGCTGTAAAGAAACCTTGTCTTTGCCTAGTTAGTACGTTGTATCCCCCAACCTCTTCATCACATTTATATTATGGGCTGGCCCAATCAACCACACCACCTATAAATGGCCTTTGCTAGCCATCAAGAGCACTGGAGCAGGGAAGCAATTGCATCTTAAGACGTGATTCCGCCAGCCTCATAACAAAACATTGGCCTAGACCTGCCAATTCAACCGTGACATATCCTTGCTCATGCCAATTCAACCTAGATTAGGCCTACATCAATAATAACCTTAAACATTTCATCGCCTCAGCTCATTATGGTTGATGATTACCAATCATCTTAACAAATATTTCAAAGCCTGCATTGCATAAAATCAATTTTTTAGAACCTTATAATTCTTATGATTCATCCTTCCAAAAAAATCCCTTGGATCTTCCTAGAGAATTCCAATTACAATCTATAAAAAATAAAAGCCAAGATATAAAACTTTATGCATATTAAATCTTTTTGGGCTGAGATACATGTGATATAGCAAATAGGCTTTAAGTATTTATGATTTTTCTAATTATATCATTGAGATGCAGTCAAAATTACTAATAAATTAGAATGATAATAATTAATAATTATCAACCTAATTAAGTCATAATGGAGCACTAAATTAGCATCTAATAATTAACTAATCATTTATAACTTGAATAATAATTAATGAATTAATTATATTTAGTTTGTTTGAGTAAACTTTTACCCTTAATTATTCTATCTTAGCAGCAAATAGCACTATTAAATCCTAATTAAGCCCTCCTAAGTTAATTTTGATGTGCGCAGTTAACTATTATTTTGATTACTTAATCAACATTTAACTTAGCTCATTAAATTTTAAAGATATTCTGAATTAGAGAAATTTTACAACTAATCAGAAAAACTATACTCTATTTAAGGCATAATTTAACACAAAATCATCGAGTATTACCAATTTTTAGTTGATTAATATTTCTAATGGATTGATATATGATTAATTAGCTCACATACAGACAAATTAATACCAAACTAGTCTAATTAATCACTAAATAACACAAGGAAACTCACTACTTATGTAAATTAACTAGCTTGATGAATTAAATCACCTCCAAAATCTAATCCAAATCTCCTAATTCCACTAATCGCCCGACAAGCGCCTAAATATGTTTTCAGGATTGAAGTTGGATGAAGCATATTGACAACCAAACAGTTTTCAGGATTTCAAAACCTACGAATTTACACGTTTTATCAAAATTTACTTGCACACAAACAGCCCCGAAGTCATTCGACCATTTCTCTTATAGATAAACTATGCAGACTCTTCCCTCTTGCCAAATCAAAGGCATTACATCCACAGAGAACCTCAAGGAGTGAAGAAGGTGCTGACACAGTCAAAGCAATCGCAGCATCTCTTCAAACCGTTCAAAGGGGGAAAGAAAGCAGACACGGGAATTTGGGAAAAGTGCAATTCGAAACCCTAACCTCTGATTCACGTCGTCGTCCGCGGAGTTAGAAACTCCGCGAGAACGGCCCATCGAACCTCGCACAAGAGGATTCCACGATTTCGCTTTCCAGGTTAGAACCGGGAAAGCATCGGCCCTGAAGCTGTTGACGCCATACTCAAAAGTCGGGAATTTCGATTTCACTTTCGAGAAATAAAGAACTATATTTGGTTGTCTTTTTTAGTTTTTTAAATAATATTTTTGGATAAGCCTCCTCATAATTTTGAATTATGATAAAATTAATTTTATCATATATGTTATTGATTCCATTTATTATAATTAAACTATTAATAATATGATTAAATTATTAAATAAAAAAACTAAATTTATATTAGTATTTTATTTTCTTAAAATAATCATATATAGTATAATTTTTATTCTCATAATATCTCAGCAATCATCAAATAATTAGATTGTCAAAAATATGTTTATAACATAACCATATTTATACTTTGAATTTTAATCTTATCAACTCGTTTCTCTACGAGTTAGGACTTTACTCTTTTATAAAATAATGTGAAAACATAGGTGAACAAACTACTTGCGTAGCATGTTATTCAATACTTTCTAACGAATTCAATATTTAAAATTAAAATATATTGCAAAAGAATAAACATGAAGTTTTACTATTTAGTTAAAATAATATAATTGTTGCGTCCTGGAGTATTCATGGCGATAGAAAAATATAAAATTTAATGTCTTAGCATTGTACGAAGATCCAGCACACATACAGAAAAAAAGAGCGGGTGCGTCATACACTAGAGACACCAAGATTTTTACGTGGAAAACCCCTGAAAAGGGGAAAAATCACAGGGTCTAGCCCAATTTGAATGAATCCACTGGTATTGTAGTTGATTACAAATGAGGCCCTTCATTGGGGGAAGACCTTAGTTTGATGTATATCTTAGAGAGTACATTACATGTTGAGAATATAAAGAATCACTGCTGATGTGTTTGTTTGGTCTGAAGGACTGTAATCGGTAGGCGACATAAGTCAGAAGGACCGTAGTCGGCAGGCGACAGAGGTCAGAAGGGTTGTAGTCGGTGGGCGACATAAGTCGGAAGGACCGTTGTCTGACAACGAAGGTTAGAAGGACTATAGTCGATGGATGACGTAAGTTAGAAAGACCGTAGTCAGCGGGCGACCGAGGTCGGAAGGACTGTAGTCGGTGGATGACGTAAGTCAGAAGGGCCGTAGTCGGCAGGCGACGGAGGTCGGAAGGTCTGTGGTCGACGAGCGACGGAGATCGAAAGGACGGCGTCAGATAGAAGTTCAGGAATGGACAGAAATCCAACATCGGATAGATGTCTTGCGAATGTCCGATAACAGGCAGAAGTCCAGCGTTGGGTAAAAACTTGGCGATGCCGGACCTAGCGGATGTCCGGCGTTAGATGGTATTCGGGCAGGGCTCCGGCATCACTTGGAGTTCGGGTGAAACTCCAACGTCACTTGGAGGTCGGGCCTAATTTCGGCGTCATTTGGAGGTCGAACGAAATTCTGGCGTCACTTGGAGTTTGGGTGAAACTCCAACGTCACTTGAAGGTCGGAAAGAACTCCGGCGTCATTTGAAGGTCGGCCGGAATTCCAACGTCACTTGGAGGTCGGGTGGAATTACGGCGTCACTTGGAAGTAGCGCAGAATTCTGGCATCATTTGAAAGTCGGTTGGGTCGGGCAGAATTCCGCCATCATTTGGAGTTATGGTGGAACTCCAGCGGTGGTCGAGGAGTTTCTTTTCTCTTATTCTTCTCTTCTTCTCTTCTTACTTCTTGCTTGCGTCACTTGGAGGTCGGGCGGAATTCCAGTGTCACTTGGAAGTAGGGCGGAATTCCGACGTCACTTGGAAGTTGGGAGGAATTCCGACGTCACTTGGAAGTCGGGCGAAATTCCGGCGTCATTTGGAGTTTGGGTGGAACTCCAGCGGTGGTCGAGGAGTTTCTTTTCTCCTATTATTCTCTTCTTCTCTTCTTACTTCTTGCTTGACCCCACCCCCGCAAGAGAAATGAGGGGTCTATTTATAGATTTCTGGAGTGACAAGACTCTAAATAGGTGATGATAGATTAGGGGTAAATGGGGAGTGGTTAAATGGACGGCCGATATTGAATCCCTTGATCATGTACCGTTCATCAGACATTTGAAGGTCTTAATGATGTTGGAATTTTACAATCTTAGGCTCGTTGGATTCGTCTCGTCGAGCCGCTCGATTTGATTATAAGAACGTAGTGTTTGGAAACCGTTTGGAAACTCAAATTGTGGTTCAAACTTTCCAAGAGCGCTTCGGGTCCTTGATTTGGACTCATTTAGGCTTGGATTGAGTTGAATTTGGTGTCGTTGGGTTTGTATTTCCGAGTCGATCAGTTCGACTATAAGTTTGCTGAAAATGGAGTTCAAATGATCCTATATTTAATTTTTGAAGTTTCCAACTTGATTTTTGCCTCAAGATTCGCGCCCGATCAAGATAATTTTTTGAAGACATATCAATACTAATCATATATATATGATTTCAATGGTATATATAATTATTAAATATTAACAGTAGATATATGTCAACAATATATATTTATTGAAATTGTAAGTAACACAACATGACATTGTGAGTAGCAAACACATGATCAATTCTCAAACTTGTACATAATAACAACATGAATTTGTAAGCAGCAACAATATGATCCGTTATTAAACTTGCAAAATAACATCAACATAAAAAAATAATAATAAAAAATGACAACAACATGAACTTAATTTAAACTTTAACTTAACCTTAGGATAGAATACATAAAACTTACATGTTATGTATGCAGGACATGGTTTACGTATGTATGTCCCGATGTCTTCTTATAACTTCAGTTCTACTTAGACCTCCACTTGATCACCATACATCTATTCATAATAGATGGAGAAATACCAAATTCTCTATTTAACTTCACTTTCACTTATACCTCCAATTATTCATCTCACATCTATTCAATACAACAATAACAACAACAAGCCTTTATACCACCACATGGGGTCGACTACATGAACCAATTTCCTCCATTGTGTTATGTTAAGAGTCAAATTTTCATTTAAATCTAATAAAAAAGTCATTTCTAATATTTTTCTAAAGAAGTCTTTTTAGGTCTATGTGGACAAATTAAATGATGATGTTTGTACCTCTAATTTGATATTTAATATTTCTTAGACAAATTCACATACTTAGTGATAATTATTTTGAAGAATAAAATAACACTATATTATTGATTTGAGGAAAGAAATGATTAATTTTGTATTCAAACTCAGCATCGAGAATGTAAAAATTATCCTGATGGATAAAGGATAATTTTCACATTCACCTATCGTTTTAAATATGAAATTAATCGGCAATAGGCTTTAGTTGACGTCCAGAGATTTTTCCCCTCTCTTAGCAAACTAAGACATGATTTATTTTATACTTAAATCTTGGGTTGCTATAGAGGCAAGTCATACAGTCAATTACATCTCCGGAGAGAGCTTTTGATTAAAGTGGAAGTTAGACTCATTTTATTTTTTTATTTTTTCTTTTTTAATTTTTTATTTCTTTTAACCTAATACACACATAATCTTCCTAGATGTAATGCATGATAAGGTTAGCTATATCCCAAGAGATCGAAAGGAATAAATCAGACAAAAAATCAATGACTCGAGATGAGTAAATTGACTTTACATTTAAGTGACGCTAACGAGAAGACTTGCAAAAACTCTAAATTTTTCTTGTTTATATTACTTAGCTAAATTTTCTAACTACCAACAAGAAAAGCATAGTATCCCCTGTGCTAATGGAGACCCCGCTACCTTGTATGTATGAATGAATAGGTAAAGCGATTGGTGTCTATAATACCCAAAACTATAGCATCCTAAAAGTATTATATATGTTCCTACAAAGTATGAAACATGCACACTGAGGAAGATCTAAGAAAACTTGCTAGCCCCTCATGCAAACTAGCATATATATATATATACATGCAAGTAATATATGAAATGATGCAAAGAAGAGAATTATATAAATAAAAGAAAATTTTTATTCATTTATTGATTTAGAGATATACAATAGACTCAGACTCTACATGAAAGTAAGGTGTCCAAGCTCCACCATAACAAACATGAGTTTCTAAACCTACCATATATATATAACCAAATACATCTTCTTATGATCTTTAAGCTTCAAGTTTTCTGTAGAATTTCAAAAGAGATTATACTCCAAATGAGAGGACATCGTCTTTTGGAGCCCCCACATGTATATATAAGCAGGTGTATTTAATTATTTTACAACTCAGGACACTATAAAACTCGATATATATACAAATTATGATATACAAACACTTATACATATATACAGTAGTTCCTAGGTACATTTTATATTATATGTAATATAAAATGTGCAGAGCAGTTGTGTAATCATCTAATGCTTCTAATGTAATTTCTAAAGAGCCTAAATGCAACAACAGAAATTTAAATATGACAATCGAGAGTGATAAAATTAAATAAACAAACATAGGGTGATCTCAATGAATAATTAACACCACCGGCCTAACATATGCTTGAGTTGATTGTCCTAGCAAACCATCTAAATGTCACATCACAAGAAGATCTGGACATGTATTATCGTGTTGAGCTATGACAGATAAATCATAATATCTAGTTTTGGAATTATTTCAAGTTTTCTACCAATATTTATTTGAAATAACTATAGCGCTACTAAAGCATCCAGATACTAAAAAAAAACTCATCCATAAGATTTATTTCATTTCATCATGATATATGTATATTATAGTACATTACTACATGCTGAGCTACATAATTGAATAATAAACAAGTCATGATTGTATAAAAAAAAAAAAAAAAATACATATCAACTCAAATATGATCCTAAATTGCTAATCCACAATCTTCTTACCTTTCCCAGATCCTGAAAAGCATAAGCAAAATCACACTAAGCTACAACACCTTAGTAGACCACTCAATTTTTAAATTCTTTTATTAAATTTTGTTGAATATTTAAAAATAGTTAAATGCATGCTAATAATCACTATGCTGAGAAATATAATAAGAGCATAACAGTTTGACAATTATTTAAATAATAATACTTAGCACATAAATAAATTTTAATACATATTATAAAGCATTTCATGTTATATTTTTTTGAGCTAGACATAATCTCAAAGGATCCAAACCCCTTATAACTCTTTTTTGTGCTTAAAACACCAGAACATGCTAGTAAGCACTACAATATGACTTATAGCCACCAAAATATACCTTATAGGCACAAAAATATTAAATGACATTGACATAATCTCAAAGGATTCTACGCCTTATGGCTCCTGACAATAGAAAATTCTACTAGACAAAAATACACATCTTTTAAAAAATTATCAATTACTATGGATTATGTAAAATAATGTTTTAAGATTTTTATTATACTACAATACTATTTTTTAACATCCAAATAATTTTTTATTCAATAAAAATCTCACAAATTTTAAAACCCCCATTGAAAAATATAAGAAAATATTCAAAATGTTCATAATTGTAATTTCTATAATATATAAAAATTTATGCAGTAAAAATTTTACCAAGCCAAAGTTATCCACATTTAAACTCAGGGGTTTCTCCTCTTCCCCCTCGCAACTGGAATGCTATCTTTTCTCCGGATGTCTCACCGTCTAAAGATCTTCATTTATCTAATTTTCCTGATGAACCAGATATTGTTCCTGTCACGACCCAACCCGACCGGGACGGATCCCGCTCGCATCGGGTCGTGGGCTAGACTGAAACTGACTGAACTGATTCCAGGATCTGGCTTTGGAATTTGTTTCAGAACTTTCTTCCAAACATTATACACAGAAACAGACACACACAGAGCTACTATAAATATCAAATGCAGCGGAACAGATCATCCATCTTTTTCTTCTCCAAAAAGAATCATATACAAATACAGCTCATGGCTTTTAGACAGAAAGAAAAGAAGAACAGAAAAGCCATGACTGTACAAAAATCAAAAAGACAAAATACCTATAACAGATCGGACTCTGAACTTCTATTCCTGGACTTCTTTCCCCTTTCCCAGAACCTGAAAACCACGCAGAAAACAAGGATGAGTTACAACAGCTCAGCAAGACATCAAACCTCCAATCAAAATCCTCAGAGTCCACATCAAACACATCAGACAAAAATCCGTTCAAAAACCAGAATACGGAATAGACAGAACAAAACAGAACGAATCAAATCAGAACAGGACAGACAGAACAGATTAAATATCAAATCAAAACTGAATCATATATCAAATCAGAACAGATAGAATCGTACAGAAATCAGAATCAGATCATAGCAGAATAGAACATAATCATATCAAATCAGATCAAAATCGTATCAGAACATATCAATTCAGAGTATATCAAATCAGAACGTATAAAAGTCAGAACAGATCAAATCAGAACAGATTCCCTGACCCTGACAGAATCTCAACGGATTCTAGCCCCTTATGCCTCCCTTCCCAGACACTGACAGAATCTCTCGGATTCTGGCCCCTTATGCCTCCCTTTGTGCTCATGGCACCAGAACAGATGTGCTTATAGCACCAGAACAGAACTTAGCATTGGATCCGAAACTTGTATTCAGAAACAGATTTCAGAGCTCATTTCAGATTTTCCCTGACACAGACAGGATCTCACAGGATCCTGACCCCTTATAACTCCCTTGTTATAGCACACAAGCATAACATGTCATTTGAGAACAAATCCGGACAAATTCAGAAATCGTACGAAAATCCGGCGGCATAACGGCAGTATACGGAATTTACACAAAATTCATCAAATCAGAATTTCACCAAATTACTACAGAACATTCACAACAATATTATAAGACTTTTATTCTACTGCCCAGACAAATTCAGAAATTATCAGCAATTACAGTCAAAAGAAAACACCGCCGAATCAAAACTACCCAGTCAAAATTCTCCAGAAAATAATCAAAACGTGCACACTCGGCACTTCAATAACATACCAAAAGTTACGCGGTAAAAACTGAACCAATCGGAAAATACGGACGAAATTCGCTAACGGAAACAAAATTCGGACAGAAAATTCGTTCAAATTTCACCGTTCTGAAAATTGAGAAAGGCGGAATGTGCCTTACCTTGCGTACACCAATTTCATGAACTGTCTTGTCGGACGAAAACGGCCCGGCGTCGCCCGAAAATCAACTTTTCCAAGTTTCTCCTCGACTTTCTCTCTCCTCAAAACATTTCAGATATTTATTTTTTTGATTTTCTCTCTATTCAAAACGACTGATTTCAGCTAAATAAGACTAAGATCGGCCTTGCCGATCGCACGATCGTCATGGACGATCTGACCAAAATCCAATCGGCCTGGGACGATTTCTCAGGACAATAATTAATTTCTTGGACAATATTTGCTCTCTGACTTTTGCCATGAACTGATCGTCCCGAGACGATCCCAGATCGGCCCGGACGATCCCTACAGGAAATCATTCCTGTAACTTCTGTACAGAATCTGGAACAAATTGTGAACTGATCGTCCCGGAATGATCTCGATCGGCCCGGACGATCCTGGAGCAGATCTGATGTTACAGTTCCTTTCTCTGGGGACAAGTTAAACTCAGGGGCGATAGATTGGAATCTATGTCTCGTTGGTTATTCTATAGGGCGTAGGCCATATTATGAAGCTTTGCTTGGTGCGATTAAGAAAACGTGGAAGCTAAAAGGTTCTCTCGGGATGTTTTCCCTAAGCGATGGTTTTTTTCTCTTCCCCTTCTCCTGTTCGGAAGATTTTGATTTGGTCTGGAGCAAAGGTGTTTGGTTTTTACTTGGTAAACCTTTCATCTTGCAGAAATGGCACCCAAAATTTAAACCCTGTAGAGAAAACTTCTCTAATGTCCCTATATGGGTGAAAATCCATGACCTTTTTCTTGCATGCTGGAACTCTGAAGGGATCTCTCGCATTGCAAGCAAGATTGGCATTCCCCTGGCGGCTGACTCCCTCACCGCGAAGAAAACCAGGTTGACTTTCGCAAGGATATGTGTTTTGGTTGATTGTCATGCTACGTATCCTGAGGAAATCAAAGTTTCCCTAGATGGTGACATTGTTGCTTTGAAAGTTCAATATGAATGGAGGCCTTCTCCACGTGAACACTGTAAGTCTTTAGTTCATTTCTTCTCTTTCTGTCCTGAGAAACCGCAAGCTGATGGTGGCAAAGGCGAGGCCTTTACCAACAAACTTCCTCCTCGGGGTAGAAGTCAAAGCAACCCTCTCGAAACAGCCACCTGGACAAATTGCCTCCACATCTTCTTCCCTTCCAGTTAATCACTTAAATCTTGAGGTCTCTGTCTTGGATCCACTCATCAATCAAGAGCCTGCTGACATGATTTCTTCTGGGCGTGATCCCATTCAGAATCATTCCATCATCAAAAATAACCTTGGTCAAGATCTTATTTACCAGCCGCATTCTCCCACTTCCAAAAACTCCTGTCCTGCTCACATTTCTACTTCTCTTAATGATTTTAAGAGTTGCAATTCTGCGGAATAGGCCCCTGCCCCTGCTATCATCCCGGGGAAAGCTATCCTCAATTTGAACTCACCTTTGGACTCGAATTCTGAAACTTCGGGAAGGATTTCCTGTCCGGCTGATCAGCCTGTTGGGTTCATCTCACCCAAGAGATTTGATATCCTTCAAGAAAATGAGGAAGTGTCTAAACCGGAAGATAAGGCCCAATGTGAAGAATCGGATCCTCCTTTCTTTAAGGAAAAGCATAAAAAAACCTCAAAAGTCTCAGCCGAACATTTATGTGAGTGTGAATAAAAAATCTGCTAGGGGTAAGCAAGCAAAAAAACCCCACTCTTCCTCCTCCTCCTGATGATCCTTCCGTCCATTGCTACCTGGAATGTCTGGGGGTTCAACAGGCCGGATAAAGTTTTGAGCTGTAAACGTTTGCTGGCTTCGTTTAAGCTTGACCTGCTATGTGTTTTGGAAACGAGAATTCACTCTTCTTCTTTACTAAACCCGTTTTTTGAGTCTAATCACTCTCTCTTCCCTTTTGAGAAAAGTTACAATAATTTTGATCTTTCTCCATCTGGGAGGATTTGGGTCAAGTGGAATGCTAGTAAGATTGACTTTGTTCCCTCTAAATTCTCCCCCCAGTGTATTTCTGGGGAGATTTTTGTGGGTTCCCAACTCTCTTTTCATCTTTCTGCCATCTACGCTTCAAATAATAGCTCAGAAAGAAAGGGTCTTTGGGGTCATCTTACTGCTTTTGCTCCTTCCCCTGACATTCCTTGGATTGTCTTAGGGGATTTCAACTGTTGTCACTTTGCTTCTGAAAAGTTGGGTCGTACGTCGCTTTCCCAGGGCAATCTGGTCGACTTTAATGAGATGACTTTCCGGAATTGTCTCTGTGATCTTCAGACTATGGGTAGTAACTTCACTTGGTACAATCAGCAGGTTGACAACCCGATACATATCAAGTTGGACAGGGCTTTGGTTAATCAAGCCTGGATTTCTGCATTCCTCTCATCTTACTGCTCCGCTCAGAGTCCGTCCACCTCGGATCATTGTCCCCTTGTTTTACACTCAGGTGATGTCCTCAACTCTTCTCACAGATTTCTTTTCATGAATTTTTGGACCAACTTTGACAGGTACTGGAATCATGTGCTGGATGTTTTCTCCTCTCCGTTAACCGGGAATCCCATTTCCTCTCTATGCAATTCCCTCAAAAAGCTCAAGGATATCATAAAATGGGAAAATTGGTCCAATTCAAACCTTATCAATAAGCACCTGGAGGATCTTCTTACTCATCAAGCCATTTATTTGTAGAAGGTGCAAGCTAATCCCAAAGATCCAAATCTTATTTCTTCCCTTTAATCTATAAATCACAGTATTACTGACATCTCATCCCTGAGAGCTTCCTGGTTGATTCAACGGGCTAAAGTGAAATGGCTAAAACATGGCAAGGAAGATCTCAAATTTCTTTTTTCAAAGATCAAAAGTAGGCAAGGGAGCAATAAAGTGGCAGTGAATCTTTTTGCTGCTTTTCCTGGTAGAGACAACAAGGAAACGATTAATCTTATCATTAATCACTTTCATGGACTGTACAACCCGTCTCCCCCTTCTAATTGGATGTGAACTTATTCCCTTCTGGTAACACTCTTCTGAATTTTTATTGTGATGTTCTAACTTCCTTTGTTACTGCTAAGGAAATTAGAACCTCTGTTTTCTCGGGGCCTTCAAACTCTTCCCCGGGCCCTGATGGCTTTAATTACCATTTTTACAAGTCGAGTTGGCACATTACTGGTCCTTTAGTTTGCAAAGCCGTTAGATCTTTTTTCGGGAAAGGCTATATTCCAAGCAGTGTCAAGGCTACGGTGCTTGCCCTCATTCCTAAAAGTAAATGTGTGGAATCTATTTCTGACTTCAGACCAATTGCATTATATAACACTGTTGGTGGAATTTTGAAAACAGGTTTTGAAAAATATTAGTTTTCTTTGGGGATTTTAAGATTAAGATTGAGTTCTAATTCTAAGGTCGAATCAACTCGTTAGAAAGAGTATATAACCCCGAAGGATTAAAATAAACTTTCATAACGGTGTTCAGACTTAGAATTATGTAAACTCATCTTGAATACTATGATCGGGTTCTAAGAAGAACTTTATATGGCCCCAAGGGGACAAAGTATAGTTCAACTCCACAGACAACATTATCTTAGCTAATGAACTGTTGGAGTTGGCTCGCAAAAGAAGCAGTTATAAGTACTTTTGTGCTAAACTAGACATCAGGAAAGCTTTTTATACTGTCTCCAGGGAATTTCTGTTATCCAGGATGCTGCAAAAAGGCATTCCTTGCTATTTTGTTAACTTGATCAAAGCTTGTATTACAGATGTGAAGTTCTCTGTACTGGTTAATGGGGCCCTAGAAGGTTTTTTCTCTTCAAAATCTGGACTTAGGCAAGGATGCCCGTTAAGTCCTTATCTCTTTTGCTTGGTCATGGATGCCTTCTCTAATCTTATGGATAATGGGGACTTCAAAGGGATTAGTTTGGATGGCTTCTCCCTCTCCCATCTGTTGTATGCGGATGATGTTTTAATCTTTGGTGAAGCTTCTGTGGAGAATTGTATTTGTCTCAATAGAATACTTTCCACCTTCTCTAATGCCACGGGGTTGCATGTAAACCTTGATAAAAGTTCTAGCATGTTTCCTAAGAATGTGTCTAACTTTGGAGAGCTGTGCAACATTCTCTCCATTCACAACATTTCCAAAACTATTACATACCTTGGCATTCCTCTGTCTTTTCACCGCCTTAAAGTTGCTGACTTCCTCCCACTTACTGATAGCATTTCTATTAAATTGTCTGGGTGGAAAGCTAGTATTCTTTCTTTTGCTGGAAGGCTTCAATTCTTAAAGTATACTATTCTAAACTCCATCGCCTATTGGATCCGCGGTGCCATTTTACCAAAATCCGTCTTTAAATTCTTCAAAAAAATGTGCTCCAAGTTCCTATTGTTTGGTGATTGCAATGCTGGTAATAAGATGCACTTAATCTCTTGGGACAGAGTTACTAAACCTAAGGAGTTTGGGGGGCTTGGTTTGCCTTCCTTGTCTGCCTTACAGTTTGCTTTTAATTGCTCGATTATTAGCAGGATGTACAATTCTCAGTCTCATCTCTCTAAATGGCTCTCCTCAAGATATATTTCTCCTTGGTGTCCGATCCCTTCTTATGCCACAAAATTCTAGAAGGCTGCCTGCTTTACTGCTGGGTTGGTTAAGCTTAAATTTTCTTTTAAAATTAATAGGAATGCCCCTATTTCTATGAGATGGGGTCATTGGTGTTTTACTCTAGATTGGAGGAGTATTTGGGTTTGCCTGATACGATGTTTATTGTTCCATTTTCTAATTGCTTTGTCCGAGATTTTATATCAGGTTCTCATTGGGTGCTTCCATCTTGCTTCCCCTTACTGCTGCAAAATGAGATTTTGAAGGTCGGTATTGATGATGATCCCATTTGTCTTTGGTGGGATAATAATAAGCACTGTAAGTACTCAGACTTTGTCTTAGAATTTTATAATTCTTATCCCTCTGGCCCCTGGTTCAATTTACTGTGGAGGCCTAAACAATCTCTGAGATACTCGTGTTTTGCTAAGCTTGCCATTGTTGGGGGCTTAAAAACGGCGGAGGAGTTAGGCAAAAGGAATATTTTGGTCCCTATTACCTGTAGTCTCTACTTTAATGCCATGGAAACTGCTTCACATTTATTTTTTGAATGCTCCTATTCCTTTAATATTATTAGAGCGTTAATCCCTAGCACTTCTTGCTTCTTGATGAATCTGTCTCTATTGCAAGTGCTGGAATGGTTAGAGGGGAATTCCAGTTTTAATGCGGGGGAAAAAAATTTCTTTTCTCTTGTTGCTTGTGGAACTGTCTACTTCATCTGGAAAGAACGCAATCAAAGGAGGTTCAATAACTCTTTTTGTAGCAGTAATTCTGTTTCTTTATGTATTAAGAAAGCTGTGCATCTTAAAGCCTCTAGTTGTAAGAACTCCATGGTCCTGTTGGATAAGTTGTATAATAATGGATTACCGGGGCCTATCTCATAATCTCTGCTGGATCAGTTTGGCGTCTTTTGTTGGGTTGTTATATGCTCTTTCTTCTTAAATGTGCCTTCTGGACTTGGAGTATTGGTTTCCATTTGGTTGGCTACTTCTATTTCTGTGTCTCTCGGGCCCTTCGAGTATATGCTTTTCAGGCATTATGGCTCTGCCTGGACGATGATGAAGCTCCCTATATTTATCCCTTGGATGGTCCTTGGGCAACCAGGGATATGTCACTCCGTCTCTTTCCATACTCTGAGTCCAGGCAGTTTGCTACGGGAGCTCTGTTCTATGGTTTTGCTGCCTTGTTGGACTCAACTCTTCATTTTTCTCCTTTTGCAGCTCGGCTGCTCATATGTTCTGCTGGTCTCTGTTCTCTGGAGGATGGCTTCTTCCATGATACTGTTGGATCTTCTTGGGTTCCTCTCTGTTGTGATCCTGATATGAGTCTTTTGCTCCTTTTGTGTTGAAGTCTTCTGATTGCATTTTTTTGCCATTTACTTGTAATTTTCTTTTTGGTTTTTTGGGCTTCTTCATGCCAGCCATTTTTTTTGGCCTTAGTATTTGCTTACTTTACTTGTAATCCTCTTGATTAATATACGGGCTCTGCCCAAATTTTTCTAAAAAAAAAAAGTTATCCACATTTTTTGCTAACGGAAACAAAAATTTAATTTAAAAATTTGCTAAAAATTGTATATTTTTAAAAATTGAGATGGTCATAATGTGACTTACATTGAGACAAATATATTTTCCAACTAAACCGATGGATGAAAATGCTCGAAGTTGCTCAAAATCAAACTTTATTTTTCTCTCTCCTATCTTTTTGTCCTAAAATTTCTAAACTGCTCTCTCTGTTGATGAAATGGCAAAAAATAAAATGGAATTTTTAATAAACTATAAAGTGGGATTAGATATTATATTAAAATATTAAATAATTATTTAATATTAAAATAGAAAAATTTTCTAAATTCTTTTATATTTTCAAATCCAAAACTTAAAAAATTACAAAAAATTATTCATAAATTAGTTTATTATATAT